GCTGGATACGAACAGGTGGAATTTACGCAGCTCATTTACGCACTTTTCCTGAAGATAGAAGAGTTTGTTGAAGCTGACGTGACATGTTCGTACGAACCCTTTGTACGAACAAAAGTAAGAGAAATTTAGGATAAGAATACGAACATGTTCTTGCATGAGGCCCATTGTTATGCACCAGTGGCAATAATGATAGTGGTCATAGAATAGAAGTAATAATAAAAAATTTAAATGAAAATAAACAAAATACTGTACATGGTAATAAAAAATATTAATTAACTTCCTCCATTATTTAACTACAGGCAACGGTGCAGAAAATCAATGTCATCATTCACAACTCCTCCTTCTGTTCACTAATTGGCCTGGTTGAATTTCTACCAGAGAAATCCAAGTCAGTGGGAGAAATCCCAGGTTGAGCAAAGAAGGGAGATTAGAATCAAGCAGAATTAGGTAGCAAGGTAATGGCCAGATCTGGACCAACATGGAAAACAAACTCTGGTCAGTTTAAAGTGGAACTAATGTATCAAATGGTACTGAGCAGATCCCTGAATCGCCCAAACCTTTGCTAGAGGACCTGACTGTCCACACAATGCAGCCAGTGAGGTGTTTAGCAGCTTCTGTAGTGTGGACTGTATGATAATGTGTAAAGTTGAACATTTTATTTATCCTCACAAGTACCTTTCTCAAGTGCTTCTATTTGGTCCTGTGTGAAAGACGTTCTGTTCCTCTGCAGTTTCCTTTTCAGCTGTAGCCTCATCTGAGTCTCTTCTGAGTCATCGCCGGTGGAACCAAGTGATATGTTGTTCTCCCCTCCCACTGTCTGAGGACAGTCTGCACCGAGACAAACAAGGGAGAAAAACAAGAATTTCAGTGAATTCAGTTATAAAATATCATTATATTATTAATATATAGTATATTACAACTAGTATGCATTTTATTCAGCAGTAAAACTACTCTCACAACAGAGAGTCATTAGGATCTTTGTCAGCCTGTCTCATGAATATGAGTGAATTAAAGTGAAACTGACTGAGGATCAGGGATTGTAGGTTCTAGAAAGTTTAAATCTGAAAGTTTTTCTTATTTTCTCTGTTTAAAATATGTCTTAAAAGAGTGGCCCTTAGCTTACTCTCTCTCCATGCATCTGTGGAGAAGATGTTTATCTTCTCCAGAGCTTTGAACATTCCTCATTGTTCTGCCCAGCCTCTGTAGAAGCGCTCTTGTTCGGTTTGAAATGTTGTGTTTGAAGAAAATACTTCTGAGGTTCAGACGTCTTTGTTCAGGCTAGGCTAATAGCTTAGCATATGACAGCCCATTTGATGTAGTTTTTCAGACCTAAAATGGGTTTTTCAACATCAAAAATGCCAAAGTGATATGAAAAACACTCCACCAGCAAATGTCAAACCTTAATTAAAAAAAAAAATACAGTTTGATTGCAGATCTGTTTTGCAGGGTTTTGTGATTCAGTTTTATCTCTGTAAGGTCGTTCCTCATGGCTCTCTGTATGAACACTAAAACACTGTGCGAGAGCAACACATTCTATCATTCATCAGCTGTGGTAGTAAACTAATCTGTTGCTGGAGCAAGTAAAGTTTGTTAAAGAAGATCTTTTGTTGTGCGCTTCATATAAGTACACACACTCTATTCCACTGGACGGTAAATCACGATAATATTTAAACTGCTGTTTGTTCATTAAAGGGGCAATATCATGTAAAATCAACCTTTTTGAGTTTTATATCATGCTATAATGTTATACTCTCATCAAAAACATGCCCAAAGCCTTGCTCTGACTCATTCATGCATGTTTGAGAAATCCTGCAGCGTTTTTAGGAAGCCATGCTGAGGAGCAAAACGACAGGTGGGGACCAGGAACGCCCCGGGACGTGTCTTTAAGCTGAGCTTCCTCATCATGGGGGACGGGGTTGTCTGCAGAATCAAAGTGGGCGTGTCACAAGAGTAGGCGTGTCTAATGGTGCGTTCACACCAAACGTGATTTCAGCATCAGGAGCATCAGGTTTACATGCAAAGTCTATGGTGGACGCACTTCAGTCAGCGTCGGGAAGGGCTGTGGCGCCTCAAGCGCGATTAGAGCAGCGCTATTTGAACGATTTGAACGATCTGAGCGTTCGACGTGCTTGATACGCAAATCGTTGAAGTTAGAAAATCTGAACTTTTGCAGCTCGACGCGCCGCGTCAACCAATCAGAGAGACTCCACTGTGTGACGTAGCGACATATTTCCCGACGGGACAGTTTACTGAATGATGTCCACTAACCTGAAACAGATGGAGAGGAGCTCTTTAGCTGAAATGAGTGCAGTCTCATTTCAGCAGTCGGTGTCCTGACAGGAGATATCCGCACCAATGTGTGGCAGCAGCTCATCAGACTGGACTCGGGACAAAAATAGTCCTGAAAGCGAGCTGTGAGCCTCTCCCACAGCTCCTGTGTGATGAAACTCAGAATGTCTCTGAATTATCTGGTGAATTAATTATGAATTAATTATCTGATGAATGTGACATGCTCTTGCTCTCTGTAAATAAAGCAAAGCCACTTCCTCGTCTGACATTAAACAGAGCCCGACAGAGGAGGGAGGGGCGGAGAGGCTCTTGCCGTGCAGCGCTTCAAGAGCTGACCTGCGTCTGACCTCAAAGTGCACAAGTGACCAACTTGAAGCATTGGATGCGATTTTGAAGCTGAAATCGTGTTCGGTGTGAACGCAGCATAAAGCATGAACACTGTGGGCTACGAGGCCTACATGATGGTATCCTTAGACCCTGCTTGATCTCTATAGAGCCTGACCCTGACCCCAACACTAAGATTAACCAGGAGAAATGTGACCCAAGTAGGGGTCTCCAGAAAAAGTGGTGCCGTACAGTAACGCCCCTTTTGTTCTTGTCCAATCAGGTGGTGCCGTACGGTGACGCCCCTTTTTTTGCTTGTCCAGTCAGGTGTGTCTCTTTAAAAAAGTCCGTCAAATCAGGTGTGTCGCTTTAGAATCGCCTTTCGTTGGGACAACTCCCACTCGTCTGCAGAGACCCCTACTTGGATCACAGAGCACACCTCCCCACCCCCCACCCTACACACCCCGCCCATGACTCCTGCAGGCTCTCGGCAATAACAAAGCAAACGAGTGAAAGTGAAACTTAAACTGTCTGCTGCTCTCAACACTACTTCTCACTCAGTGAAGCTCTTTTCAGATTCAAAATACCTTTGAGGAAATGTATTTTCAGATGCCAAGTAAACTGCATCATAGCGCACGCGCGACCCCACCAAAATGGGCAGGACAGAAGCGGAAGGTGGTTCTTAAAGAAACAGAGGCCAATTTCAAGGCGTTTAGAAGAGGAAGTGATGAGTAGATAAGTTTATTTTCTATTTAAACATAAAAACAGCATTTTAATAACAACTAAAGGTGACATAGATACTTTATTATGGTATAGTATTTAAATGTATGCCTGAGAAACACAATATTGGCTTTTTAAAACACTGGAACAAACTCAAACTTCCAAATGTTGAAACCAGAAAAGAAACAGTGGTCACACAGGCTTGTTACAGTACAAGGTTTAATCAACAATTTTATGTAAACAAACAGGAGTTTGCAAAAAAAAAAAAAAAAAAAACTCAGATTCACATAGTTCTTATTATACAATGCACATTATTTTAAGTCATGGTTACATTGTAAAACAAGGAAAAATAAAATGGCAAAATTTAGTTTGGTATAAATTAAAACTGAATTAAAAATATACTGTAAGTATTCCGGTACTCTTCTTCACATTTTCTCAGCACATTAAAGATTAGTTGTTTGCAGGAGTGTTTTTCACAGTAGTTCGATATCACACAGTTTTTATTATGTTGTCTTTTTCTAATTGCTATATTACAGTGCCAGAAATAGCAGTAGATGGGGGGAGGAGTACCAGTTGTTTATTTTCCTGTGACTATATGTTTCAGTGCATAACAAACATTTTTCAGTTGATGATGCACAGTTTACAAAATGCAAAGTGCAGTCAGTATGAATTAATTCTGATTCAGAACAATGCATTTTTTTAACAAAACAAAAAAAAACTATTCTGACTGGACCACTCCAACATGTAATCTCTGAGCAGACAGGAGCTTGACTCCTGTTCCCCGTGGTACTCAGGTTTTTTTTTTGCATCGCTAACCTAATTATTCATTATCCCCAAAAGATAAAGGCTGCAAAACAGAATGAAGCCTTTGCTCAGTGTCATAGTCAGTCAGGCAGAAAGAGAGGCAAATGAGAGCAGACACCCCGCTCCCCTTCTCCAGTCACACACACACACACACACACACACACACACACACACACACACACACACACA